ACACTCTCAGCAGCTGAGAGGAATCCCTCTCGCCGCCAAGAGTCGTACACTCTCAGCAGCCAAGAGGAATCCCTCTCGGCCGTTGAGAGCACTCTCAGCAGCCGAGAGGTATTCCTCTCGGCAGCTGAGACCATTCATATATTTAGTTATTCAATTTTCTATTATTATTTTTTATTTTTTATTTATTTTTATTATTTTTTTGTTAGGGGAACGACTCCCAAACCTTTTGAAGGTTTTGAAGTTCCAACTCCCAATTTCGGGGTTGGACGTCCTGAGGACTGTCCGCAGACGGTCCTCTCGACGTCCCAGAAATTTGGGAGTTGGAACTCCAATTTCTGGGAGTCGTTTAACTAAGACCCTAAACAAAAACACCTCTTACTCAACAATTCCACTCCAATAGTCTGCTGAATTCCCGTTGATCTAGGTCTGATAAGAGACTGCTACACATAGTTTTCTCTATCATCAGTTTTGCCACAACAATAAAAATAAATTGTTGTGTTAACTCTTGTGTAGTACAATAGAGGGGCAGGTCTTTCAAACCAGCCGTAACAGTTGTAGTAGATCATTACATATGTGATATATCTCATCTGCTATTTCCACCTCACAGGACTGCCACCATTCCCAAAAGGAGTTCTCACAACGAGAAGTCCTCCAATAAACTTAATACAATGACATGCATAGGATAACAGCAGCAATAAAGTGTGTTTTGAGATTATTTTCCTCTTTAAATTTTTTATAATGTTGAAGAAGACAGTTGATTTCCAGCCCAGGTTAGGAATCTTTTAGAGCAACATCCCCCGCTCTGTGAATAAGCCTATTCTTCTACCATAAGTATTATCTACCCTAATCAATTATTATCAAGAGAAATTCTTTTGGTTTGATGGAAAAAGTAGGAGATATGACACCGCAATGAGGGTTTTGAGTAAGCCGGCAGTCTGAAAAACTGGATAGGAAGTACAGACAATCTGAATGGGCTGGATAAGTCCTTGAAGCACAATCAATCTGAAGAACTGGATAAATGGCTGAGTAGAAATGAATTTGAAGAATTCAAAAGATGATAAGATCAAATAACAGCACTGCAGCTCACACCAATACAGCAAAGAAAGCCAATGAAGCATTTAAGCAAAGTAACATTCTGAAGAAACAAGCAGCAAAAGCACAGCTGAGAGAAGAACAAAATGAATCAAACACAAGGAAAAGATAATGAGATTGAAGCATCAAATGAAGAATACTATGCACCTCAGACCAAAGGCTGAGTGTGAGTATGGATAATTTTCAAGAATGAGAATGATAAAAAATGGTGAGATGAGATAAAGAGAACTGGTTATCATAAGAAGTGGTTGAAAGAGTACATCTACAATACATCTAGTTGGCTTGAATTTCTCAGAATAATCTACAAGGCTCAAAATTTAACTGATCCAAACCCCCAGCATTGTAAATCAAATATTGAACTGGCTTATGTCTCAGTATAAATATCTTTTTAGTTAAAACGTGACTGATCACAGATCATCCTATCAAATCAATGAGTGCACCCCTTCTTCTTGACTGTTCCACCAACCAGATGCTCAAAGAGGGAGGACCTACTCACATCCCCTCTCCAAAGTGAGTGGAGACTTTGCATCACACTATTTCCCAACATTGTGCATGTATTGCATTGTCTGTTTTTTTTTCCCAAAACAGATTTTTCTATCAAAAAATGCAGCCATTGTATGAGCCATACATTGGAATGTCATGTGTCACATGTGTAGGTTTGTAACACATCATATTCGTGGTCATTGATGCACTTTTTAAGGGCCTTGCTGTTATCTCTATTGATAGCTGTGCAGTGTGCTGCCACCGGTATTGTCCATTAAAAGTATCGAAAAAAGATGCTTCACCACTCCGTCGTGTTGCAAAGACTTTTAAGTTGGCATTCACGCAGGCGATGAGCACCCAAACAAGTTTCATCAAGTTTTGCATCCGCGGATGAACTTTACGGTAGGTTAGGGTGCTGCAGGCCAGAGATGAGGGGTAGTTGTAAGTGAAGTCCGAACCACAAGAATTGTATGTCACTGCTGCACTGATTATTCAACCCATCTCAATAGATTGTGAAAATGCGCCCCCATAGATCGATTCGGCGATCTTCAATATTACGAATGCTGTTGGCTATCACAAGTCGGACTAGAGCATTTCTACACACAACTAACAGTGCGACCATCACTTGCGAAAACGCACCTCAGGTCTCTCAAGCTACCAGTGGAGTACGCCATGAAACATTATGCGATTCGGATGCCGTGGGACGTGTTGTGGACTGGTTGGATATGGATTCGAGCCCAGGTCAGAGGAGGCAAGTAGATACCAGGGACATAGAAACCTCGGCGAGGGAGAATTCACGAGTCATGGTAGACTCGCCTCCCATTTGGACTAGCGCTGTAATCCCAGGGAAAGAACATTTCTTACCCTCTGGGTATCGCACTGATGATCAGGACCATGGGCCGTGGAGAGATTCTTACCGGTCTGAGAAAAAGGAAGTCGAATCAAATAGCATGCATAAGACCGATTCAGTAGTGAGTGGAGAACTTTTTTCTTGGGGATTAGACATGACTGGCTGATGCTCAAGGATATACTGCCAGGGAATGAGCTACAGAGGTGGTCACCCCCAACTCCCCGAACACCTATATGATGACCATCATTTTGATTCAGCTCGGCACCTGGAATTTCAAAAGTATTTGATTCATGTAGCTGATGAAGGATTGGCACTGTCCCAGCATCACCATTATGGACCTTGGAGCCATTACACTTCTCCAATCCATAACTGGCATTCTCCGCCCGAATCCTTAAGTAATATCCCTGCATACTTGGAACACCATTGGCGGTACTTGAATTATTACTGGTGGTACTTGAACTATTTTTCTCAAAAGTTGAACCTTCCTGCGCTCAGGTTGAACAATCCTCCAGGGAGTGGAGCTCCTTTCAACGAGTTGAATAAGGGGAACAATGCGAAAAATAAAGAAAAGCAGAATCTCTCGGGGACCGGGGTTTATTTCAACGAGCGGCAGAGGGGAAACAAAGGGAAAAATCAAGGGCCCAGAAAACCTTTAGTGAATGGGGTTAATCTCAACGAGGTCAAAGAAGGAACCAACGAGAAAAATAAAGAAGTGAACATTCCTTCAGAGACTGGTATTTATCTCAACATGGGGAAAAAAGGAGACAACAAGAAAAATAAAGAGGTTGCCAATCCTTTTGGAACTGGGGTTTATCTCAATGATTTCAAGAAAGGAAACAATGAGAAAAATAAACAAATGAAGAATCCTCCAGGGACTGAAGTTTTTCTCAACATGTGGAAAAAAGGTGACAATGAGAAAAATAAAGAGATGTACAGTCCTTTAGGGACTGGAGTTTATCTCAACAAGTGGATAAAAGGAAAGAACCAAAAAAATATAGAAAACAAGGAGACAATGAAAGGTCAGATAATGTCTGAAATTGAAAAATCCAATCCTGTGGGTACTCAGAAATTCTCCCAATCAATTCATAACATCTGGAGAAAAAAAGGGTATTGTAATTAGCTGTGAATTAAAATTTGACAGTGGATCTTCATCCTTCATTTATAGCAGGTAAATTCTTCCGAAAGAGGTACACAGCCTTACGACAACCAATTCTTGAAACCTCTTATATTTCATGATGATATTTGGAAAGTAGGTATTTAACATTTGTTGCTTCATTTTGAATATGCTAACTTCTACAATATGTAATGATACTGATTTCCAAAAAAAAAAAAAAATTGATTCCATTTCCTCATGGTTTGTTGAAAAAATCATAGTCAAGTCCTAAGTATTTTGAACTATTTCCAGAGAGAAATGATCAAGATTCTCAATTAGGTTGCAGTACTTCAAACTCAAATGAATCTTCTGTACCCAAAGGTGCCAAAAATAGGGCTTTTCAAGAAGGATTAATAAGGAATCTGTCAAGTTGGGATGAGGCAAAAGAAAAAAGCCTGAAAACCTCTGGAGAAATTGAAAAACTCAGACTCACCAAAAACTTTCAAAATAAATCATCATTTCAATTTGGACTGGGTGATCAACATGCAGGGATCAAGCCAAAAATTACTGACTTGACTCCAGGAATTTCAGGCAGTAAAATCATCCAAAGATTCTCTGGAAACCAAGACAAATCTTTCCTCCATAAAAGTAGTCCAGAGGAGTTGCATTTGGGATCAAGAAAAAATTCTGAGATACAGAGTACTAGTAGGAGTGATTATTACCTGGATAATAATGCAGTACGGCAAAAGGAGGCAAGTTCTGAAATTAATAAACCAGCATTTTCTAAAGAAAATAACATCTTAAGAGAGCCAGATGGCATCAAGCTGCTCACCCATCACGGTCAATTAGAAAGGCCAGATTGTGATCCACGAGAAAGGACTGAAATGGACACTGTCAGTAGTAGTGATGGTCCTAGACCATACAGAATTACAGGGCAAATGGAAAGTCCAATCTTTGAAAGAAATTAAATTTGGAGTGAAATCACATTCAGAACATAGGGATACTCTCATCTCACCCAAAGGAAAAACCAAACTCAAAATCAATCAAGAAGGTTCAAATTTTCAGTCAAGAAAAGTAATTGGAATCCCCAGTAGTAGTGATAACACCAGACAAGATAAACACATAGAGCCACTAGAAGAGGGATCAATCTCTGGAATCAAGAAATTAGTGAAAGCAAAGTCTGAAGAAAAGAAGACTTTAATCTCTCCAGACAGAAACAAGAACCTTCCAATTGATCAAGAGTGGTCAAAAGTTGATCCAAGAAAGCTGATTGAGATCCAAAATATTGGTGGTAGTGAGAGTATTACCACATTATCAGATTATAAAGACAAAGGATCATCAGATACACCAATTTCTCAAATTGAAAAATCAGGATTGAAGAAAGAATTGTTAGATGAGAAGAGTCCTTTGTTGATCTTTCCATTAAAAAGAAACAAGAAACTCTTGATGAATGAGAAAGCTGAGAGATCAAGAGTCGGTTCAAGAAAGCCTATTGAGATCCACACTGGTAGTAGCAAGGCTAGTCAAAGATCCCTTAATAAGCAAGGATCAAAAAAAGAGGTGCCAATTTCTCATGAAATAACTCAATTGCAATCAGAAAATTTTTTAGAAGATACAAATAAGAATCTTGTGAGCTCATCAGAAAGGAAGAAGAAACTTGACATAACTGATGAATCTTCATCAGTGACTCTTGGTGCCTCAGACACTGATCAAGTGGACAGTAGTCATCAGGTTGAGAGTTCAGTGCCCACAAAAGACCCATCAAGTTATAGTCAAGAAAGAGTGAATCCTAATGATAAAGACATAAAGGGTGGAAGTTCTAATAATTTAATACAACAGCTGAGAGATAGACCCTCAAAAATAATCATCCAAGCTACATTATTTAAGGATAAACTT